CACAGGCTCACAAACTTAATTTGTTCCATGATTCTGGGGAAGATGGCCACATTTGTGTTCATACAGGCAGATGGCCATTGTTGTGTTCCGAAGTGCACAAAAGGAGGCGAGGTTTTGCCAAATGCTTCTGTTTGCAGACTGAATTGTTCATGAACAGAAGTGTTCATGAACCAAGGTATTACTGTATTGCTCCAATATCTTGCTTACATAGTCTTTTAGATTTTCTGGATACACATATAAAAACAACCTTGCTCTTCATTAAACACTGACAGCCTTCAGTTTATACCTCCAGCCTGGGCTTCTTCTCCAAGCTTCAGACTTGTCTATCTCCCTCCTTGAAGTCTCTACTTAGATACCATCCACTCATGCTGCTACACCAAGACACCAGAGATGGAGTGATCAGAAATAAAATACATTTATTTCTCACAGTTCTAGTGGCTGAAAAATCAAGATCAGGGTATTGGCAGATGTGGTCCCTGGCAGGAGCTGGTCTCTCCTTCCAGGATGGTGCCTTACTGTTGCATCCTCTGGAGGAAAGAAACTCTGTATCCCCACAACACAAGAGATGCAAGGGCAACATGAGGCACACAGTTCCTTAACCTTTCTGTAAGATCCCTGATCCACTCATGAGCACAGCACCCAGATAACCAATCACTTCCTAATACCCTATCTCTTAATACCGACACACTGGGGATTAAGTTTCCACATAAGAATTTTGGAGGAGCACATACATTTGAATCATAGGTACGTAAAAGAAAATTCCAATTTAACATGCCCACTATTGGGGAAAAAAAAGGCTCTGGGGTTTGTTTTTCCTTTTGGATGACACTCTAAGTAGGACTTAGCCACGTTCTTTTCCTTACTGTCACTTCATTAGTTGAAGAGAATGGCGGCGATAACGAATAGTGAAAAATTATTTGAAAAATACGATTAACCTGCAGTTCTTAAAGAACACCGTGATGACCACTTTCTTTAGATTTTCTTTAACTCACTTTAAAAGGATTTTTCCTCATCATGTCAGGGGATGCTACTTTAAGAAATGAGACATCTAATCACTAAGTAACTGCCTCTCTATCCTGACGAAATCTACATTTATATCTTCAGCAACTCTGCTTACCACCCTAGACCCAACTACCTACTTTACATTCCCACCTGGATCCCACAACCACCTCAATGGCAACAGGCACAACATGGACTTCATGATCTTCTCCACCCACAGATGGCTCTATCACCAAAGGCACTACCTATTGTCCAGAAAAGAAACCTATCCTCTTCGTTTACTGCTGTGTCCCTATACCTTACACAGTGTCTGGCATATAGCTGTATTTAGTGTGTGTGGAATGAATAGTGCATACTATTATGGAAACTGCCATTAAATCAGAACCTTATCTCCTTGAAAAATCATTGAAATGGGTTATCGAAAACCCAAGCCAATCTTTCATGCCTCTAACACCCAGGCTCTTCACATCATGCCAAAACTGCCACTATTTACTCAAACAGTTGGATTGCCTTCTAAAATTCCCATCATTACTGTGCACCAACATGCAGTTAAATGAATGAATTGATTATAATTTTCTCTGCTCTACCAAATTTCTACTTCTCATACTGTGTCTCATGAATGTGTGTCACTGCTGGAAAATGAGCACTAACTGTGTATTCAGAGCTTTTAACAGCAAATTTGAGTGAAATGTTGCTATCTTGATAGGAAAGATTTCTTTGAGCTCTACTAAGCATTTCTGAAAGCAAATTGTGTCAGCAGACTGAAATTACATGCAAAATTATCCAAACTATTCACATGATAGGCAGTCACACTTTGTAGTAGATGAATCTTTCAAAATGTAGCAAATGAAGCTGAATAATACCAACTTCTGGTCTAATTACCTCCAATCCAACCTCTCCTCATGGTTAAAGGCAGAAACTGCAAACCATTAGGGTATTTGATAGCATGAGAAGTCAGGTAGCAATGGAGGATGCTCTTACAGCTCTGATGTTCACATGGGGCTGTTTTTGTCTTTCATCTACTATTTTTGAGACTGAGTACTTAATGTGATAAGGACACGCTGTTCTTGGAGTTGGTCCATTACTTTTTCTTGTTTTATTTTTTTGCATTGCACATGCAAAGTGGTAGACATGTTACAGGGACTGAGTAGGAAGTTCCTTGCTGTCTGAGTTTTCTGTGCTCCAGAAAACATTAATTAATCAGCTGCTGATTAACTGTTGGAGGTACACTACTAATTTCTCAGCAATCACACCTTAAGGGCAAATAACGTAAGCCCTAAGTCACCTGCTCTCTCATTTGATATTCTCAATTATAAGTATCACACATGATCATGAAAAATTAGTAATGCAATCTGAATACAGATTAGAACCCTTCTAATTCTAAAAAGAAAAACAAAGTTTTGTGGCAATTTGAGTAAATTCAAAGTTTAAGCAAGAAATAATTTTTCTAGGTACGGTACTCCTTTCTAGGTTACAAATATATATTTTGTAGTAACAGTAACTAACATTTATTAAGCACTAAGTGTCCGTGACCTTACTTGGATCAGGGCACAATGGTATTTTTAGAATAGATGATTCTGTTATGGGACGCATGTTTTAGATTTAGCAGCTTCCCTGGCCTCCACACTCCCTAATTCTGTATCTAATATGACAACCAAAAATGTCTCCAGGAATTGTTAAGTGTTCTCTGGCAGGCAAAACTTCCCCTTGGTGAGAACTACTGCCTTAGATAAATCAATTTATTTAATCTTATATACTAGTCTATGATGTTGTTTTCCACTGTACAGGCCTTAATAGTCAGCTCTGCATTACTGTAACAAAAAGCCTAAAATAACCCATTGAAAAGAGGAAAGGTTTATTTTGGCTCACAGTTTTGGAGGTCTCAGTCCATGGTCGGTTGGTCCTGTTGCTTCCGGTCCTGTGGCCAGGCAGTACATTACAGTGGAAGCATGTGACAGAGGACATTGCTCATCCCTCATCACTGCGAAGTAGGAAAGACAGGTTTGGGGTCCCAGTAGGCAATTTGAGGGCACACTCCTGTGACTTAACTTCCTCCCAGTATGCCCCACCTTCTAAAAGTTCTACCGTCTTCCAATCATATCATAGAGTAGTGATCAGGCCTTTAACACATGGGCTTTTGTAGGCTATGTAACCAAACTATAACAAGAGATTGAATAACTTACCTAAAGCCACACAGCTAGTACTGATATAGTTGGTATTTGATCCAAAGCAGTCTGACTCTAACGTACGAAGTCTTAACTGTTACCATGATATAGAGCACCAGGGGCAAACCTACGGCACACATGCCACAGCAGGTTGTTTTTGTCATTGAAAGCTCTAAAATGTTTGCCATCACTGGTAGAGATTCAATCTCTTCTGTGCCCTTAAGGCTTGATGAGACGAGGCTTGTGGATCACGATCCCTTCCACAGTGGTTGAAAATTGCTTCAGCAGTGAAAACTGGCCCAAGGATTGAAAATGATTTGAATGAGAGAAGAGAAAGCAAGGTCTGCATTTATGTATGTGTGGCCTGTGGTAACTGAAAAAATTTGTAGAATGAAAACTCATCTACATGCAAATCTAAAAACACACAGCTTAGTAATCTTCTTTCACAACCTAAATCACTTTCAGACCCAGGTAGATACTTAATATAATTTAAATGCCTCCTCTCTTAATAGAAATATCTTGTCCACCAGCCAGCATAATTCTCATTAATTACATTTCCTTCTATAATTGGAGATTTACATCTTCCAATTAGAGAATTCCATTTGCACATGACCCTTATTAAAATGTTAATATCTATATTAAGCTGTTAGTCTTTGTTTATTGAAATTAATCAAATCAGTGAGTCATTTAGCAAGATATTGGAAGGTAAATTACAAAACATCAAAGTTCTGATGGCCCGGTTAGGGGCAGGGAAAATGTAGTTACAAGGAATTGTTCAGGGAAGCCACACTTGGGGCTGGCAACATGGTGTGGAGCAGTACAGGACAGGAAATGTTTTGAGGAGGAGACAGGTGACCAGTAGTGAGGGGGAGGAATGGACGGTTATTTATAGGAAACTTGCCTCCTTTCTGTCCTTTCCCAGTTTCCTATGTGGCAATCTCTCCCTATCCTGATATATCAGAGGTTTTTCCTCAGAATTCAGATTGGTCTATGACAGGCTGCACAGCAGATATGCAGCTGGATGGTAAATATGAGGGGCAGAAAACTATCCCAGCTGGATTGTTCTTCTGAGTCAGCTACTCCAACTGCTCTCTGCTTTGACGACGCATGGATTTCTACATGAAGGAAACCTAAGACTGCGTCTGCACTGCTCACCTTGTTCTTGGGTTCTGCCTTCTCCAAATATCTCAGGAAACACAAACTTCACTATTTTCTGTGGGAGATGCAGAGATGCACACTACTTGAAAAATGTGGATGCCACCAACTGGGCTAGAAATCCTTCCCTTGCTATTACAAGTAGGTAGGCAAAATGGAATTCCATTCCTTCTTGTGTACTCAACCCCTCTAAATAAAAATGCACGGAAAACAATTTGTTTTCCTTGAACCAGAGAGTGTCAGACAATCAGTATATAAAAAGACTTCCTGCCTAGGAGTGTCTTCTGTGAAAATTTCCTCCCAAAAAAGAAACGAAAGAATAAAATATGACTGAAATTTAAACTGAACTCTAATCACTTTAAATTTGCTCAAAACAATTTTCAAGCATTCAAATACTCACAGAAAACTTAAAATCAGAACCAAAGCTCACAACTAATATAAAAGGGAAAAAGTTACTGTGCAACTCTTAAATGCCAACAATTAAAAAAAAATGGTAACCAAGAAAGAAAAAACCCAATTGCTGTTTCAAAGCTAGCGTGAGTGGTTAATCACACAAGTGACCGGATAAACCTCACATAAGCACAGTGAGCAAGTAGGCTTTGAGGGGGAAAGTGGGTCTACATCTGATCAAGCAGCCTTGTCTTTGAGAAAATTAGCATGAAAGGATAAGCATATACAAGCTTGGATTTTTACAAGAATTTTTATTTATTATATTTTTGCAACCATCATCTTTTAAAACGGTGGCCTCAGGAAATCTGCTTCAGCAAGCAACGGCAGAGGGTCCTGCGGAGAGGAAGTGAAAATACTGGGCATAAAACAAGGGCTGCTGGCACGTTCAAAGCGCAGGGGATAGTTCACAGAGCAAAACGTAGTCCTAAGTAAATGGGTTTCAGGCAATTTCAGTGTTAAGATAACATCATTAAGAGTAGAACAGATTGTGCTCAAACCCTGCTGTTTATAATTAACACGTTGCTTCCAAATACTCCAGGGTCCCTGGTAAATAGTCTTCTGCTCACATCCATCCAGACCAATCAGAATATTTTCATCAGATTCCATGCTGGGCCAGCACCTGTCTGGACAAATCCAATAGAGCCAAAGAACTCCTCTCCCTGGCCAGCCAAGTAGCTGGATGAACACAGCTTGGCTCAGTCATTGTCACAGTCTCCATATGGCTTTGAAGCTTGTTTTCACAAGAAATCATACAAGTATTTTATTATGTCAAAGTTCACTGTCCTATAAACAAAAACAGATAATATATTAACATCCTCACCTCTAGATTGCTCAGTTTAGTATGATTCTGGGAAGAACAAGCAAGATAATTCAAGATAATGCTAAATGATTTTACAGTACTGTCAAAAGCACCATGATAGGACTGACACTAATTTTTGAAAATGTCACTAGGAACACAGTTTCTTTAAGTCTTTTTAAAAAGTTTTTGCTGTGGAAAAAGTTTACTTTTCTTTAAAAAAAGATACAAAATTAGAGCTACTCAATATTTTGTATTTCAATTATACTACAGAAAATCTGGATCTCATCTGAAAGCTACTTTTTGTCTAATAATCAGAATAAAGTAATTAGCGATACAAAAGTATTTAAATCTTTGCTTCTGAATATTGTTTATCTTCCAGAACACCTGTTTTAGCATTACATAAATGCACAGATGATTTGTCCTCATTTGTAAATTTCATTCTTTTCAGTCTTTTAACAGGGGTTGACTTCTATGTGTATTGTAACTAAATCCGTATGATCTAAGAATACAACAAACAGACGATGTGGATGTATATTTTTATACTCTGATAGCAGGCAGAATAAAATAGCAGAGAGAGACATATAATTATTTTCCTTTCTCCAAACTCATTCTTCACTATAAATAATCAGACTTGGAGGTTTATTATTTGAATAAATGGTCAAAATAATTAGATATAATGATCAAGCCATAAGTATAAAATTAAAGCCTTAAGTATTCAATTCCACAAAAATAATCATCCATGTGAGAACAGCCTTTTAAAGATTCACTAATTGCATGCTTATTTATTAAAATATCATCAATTAATGTTTTTGTCTATCATTTTGTCATACACTTTCTACAAAAGTTTTTAAGACAATGACTGACATCAAATATTTTTAAAAATTTGGATGAGGAACTTTAGATAGTGCTTATGAAAACACATTTAAAAATAGCTCAAGTGAGATGCTACGGCTATTATGGTGTTGAATGCTGGACTGAAGCATATCCCGTTTGATGCTAACAGTGCCTCTCTGCAAAACACTAACCCTTTCCAAATGGCACAAAAACACTGCCAAAAGAATTGTTGTCACTAGCAATGATAAAGGTAAAAGTACTTTCTTATATACTTAAAATCTTATACAGAAAAGACATAAAAGGCATGGCTATCAAATCAGAATATTATTTTTGGTGCTTTTCTTTCAATCAACTTTCAGGCCCCCAAATTTAATATCAGCAAAGTACCTATAAAAATAATTTTTAAAAATTATGTTGTTGGTTGTAAAGACATTTTTTAGAGGTTTTAGAGAGGAAATGTATATAGTAGATGATTTTTAATCACTGAAAGAAAAGGGAACTGGAATTTGCACATCCCACTGGGCACATTTTCACTACAATGACTTCGAGTCTTAAAGTTTTACATGTAAACTGACAGAGTAAAATGTTTTCTTGTTTTTGGCTTTAGGTGACAACAAAAAATTTACAAACAGCTAAGATTAAAACAAATTCAAACACTAGGGAAATCCCTAAGTTATAAGGCACTATTTAATGTGCTATCCTGTAGCCATAGAAAAGTGATCATTGAGGACGTACCTACACTATAAAGGACATAAATAAAATAATAGACAGTGCAACTATGTATGCAGTGACAGCATGGAGAAATGTTTGCCTAATGGACTAATACTAGAGGAAGGCAATAAACAAATGAAAATACTCGGATTGATTAGTGATAGGACTACTTCTTTTTCCTTTTCAGTTAGCTATTTTACTACCACAGCATGGTTTATGTGCTACAATTTCGTTTAACAGAATGAAGGGACTGATTTTCAAACTCTAACCAACTTAAATGTATTCATTTATAAAAGTTCACTACATTCTATTTCCTTGCTTTGTCAATAAGAAGTCTTCATGCAAATCAAATTATACAGCTAAGTATGTAACATTTTTCATTTAAGAACTTTTTATTGCCCAAGATGTCCAACAGTCATCTAACTTTTCCAGCCCTCTATAGAAACAGTGACTTGCCAATTGATCCCCACATACATTCTGCTAAAACAAGCCAGAATTTGACAGAATAACCATAGGGCAACATCAAAAATTATGTCACACATAAAGTAGCATTTTGCATTGAAGGACAATCTACTTTAAATAAAATGTTAGCTTATAAAAAAATATGTGCTTTGCATCTACTCAAGGGTTTTCATGGCTTCAGATGTATATCAGATTCATGCACATAAAATTTTAACATAACTTTTATACAGTATAAAGATTCTGTCTCCTAAGGAATATAAATCAATTACTATCTAAAATAAGCAGTTGGAAATGGGGTAAACATAAACAAAAATCGAATTTAAAAAATACAATTTAATTACATGACTTAAAGGATTTAATTTTGTCTATGTATTTTTATTTCTCTTTGTCAATTTATTTTACCCTACATTGAAATATTTTGTTCTCATAGGATACTATTTTGTTTCCTTTTACTTCCATGGGCAGTTTGAGTTCAGTTTCTTTTTTAAAACTTGTTTCTTCTAACAACTTTAAATCGCAACAGTAAGTTATGTGGAACATCTGCTCACTGATTATGGAGGGAAAACAACTGCAAACTTGTAACGTCCATTCCTGTTAAGAACATTCCAACCACAATATTCACCAGGTTTCTCAGTCATCCGTCTTCTCCTTCATTCCACCTCTGAACTGTGTTTCCTGTAGGAAACCAGCCTCCTACTGCTTCCCTGCTCAAACTTTCCCATTGCTTCTTGGTCAGTAGAGTTCTTTATGTCCTCTGCCTCTTCTAGGATCCCTCTACCCCGACTGACCCCATGCTTAAATGAAAACTGCCTCCCTGTGAAGGACAGTTTTCTCTTCAACTCTTTCCAGTGAAAGTTCAGCTCTCTCCTGTACCCCGGACAGTTTGGGGTGGAGGTGGTGTCCCCACACCGTTCTTTTTTTTTTTTTTTTT